AGTATTTAACATTAGAGACTTCTGTTCCAGGCAAAATTGTTTATATTGGGGCTTACCCAACAGGTAGTTCATATGTACCAATAGAAAAGGATACTAGCTTGTTTTAATGACACATGCGTGTGATGGCAATTGTTTTCTTGTCTAGCTTCTTTTATTTAGTGTACCATTCAGAATGATTGAGGAGCAAAGAACAGAGGCACTCACTAAAATAGGAAGATAAAACCATCAAACTGGCTAAAAGTGAAAGGACAGCTATAGCTGAAGCCTTCAAAACCGAGGCCCAAAGAACTAAGGGCCCTGTGTGGTTATGTGTTTTCGAGAGTTCTCAGCAGTGAATGTAGTTGTATTAAAACATTAGGGATTTGAAAAAAAAGCAATCTGGGATAGACTGTTTCTAATGAGAAGGGCAGGAGAGAGGTGTTAGGGGCACACAGCGTGGAAGAGTTTCTCTCAAAGTGGGGTGGAGTTATTTATTTAAAAAAAAAATAAAACCATCAAAGCCCATTCAACTGGGACACACCATTTTGATGGGCAAATAAGGATCCCAAACTTGCAAACTCGTACTCACATCATCCCAGGTCTGTAGAATCACATTCTAAATAATTATTTTCATCATCATTATGGGAAAGGAGGACAAATCAAATGGTGCTTACACAAGTGAGTTTTCATGATGATTTTGCAAGTCTGGTTTAAAAGAAGTGCAAGTAATTCTAAAAGGATTTAACTCCATTATTAACACCCAACGTGGTCTAGGTGCTTTGTAAACATAAGGAAAATACTTTTCTGGGCAGGGATTGTATGTATATATACTTACCATGCACACAACACACAGACACTTACTTGTGTTTGGGTTTCACACACAGTAGAATTAGTGTGTTTAAATCCCCAGGACTGCTTGGAAAATCTCACTTCTAAATAGATATTTACATACCTAATTAAGTGCTCTGATTTAAGTCAATGGGAGTGGCTAGGCACTGAGCATTTCTGAAAAATGATCTTTTTTTTATGTGCCCAAATATGGATTTTGCCTAACAGACTCCCATTTTTAAAAATCTTGGCTAGTGTATTCTCTTCCCTGCTGCCCCCAAACCCAATAAAAAGGACTTAAGGAAGATTCTGGGAAGCAGAAGCCGATAAGCATCATCTCAGCACCTGGGAAAGTGGTAGCGAGTCTAATTAAAAATAGATTACTACAACTCTTTTGTAAGTATAACTTGATAGGGGTCAAACAGTAATGGTTTCTGTGAAGTAAAAATCATGCCTCTCTAATGTGTTTTTCAAAAAGTTAATTAAAAGCAGATAAAAGGGAGCATTTACCTGGATTTTCAAAAAGCTTTTGCTAAGGTCCCTCATAAAATATTAAGGAAAATAGATGCAACTACTTACCCTGGAATAAAATTGTTAAGAAATAGGAAACAATCAGCAGCTCCTGGAGAAAGGTTAAGTCAGGGGTCTTAAGGACTAATCCAGGGAGCAGCACTGTTTAATTAAAATGATTTAGGAGTGGTCACCAAGAGGAAATTCAGAGATGGCAATTAAAACTAGAGAACCTCTGAACTCATAGAATCATGTGAGGAAAAATTGTCTGGAATAGAATCTATGGATAGTTCAACAGTGGGGATCGATATTCAGAGAACAACTGAACAACAATGCTCATATTTTGCAAATACATTATCTGACTTCTCCCCCCACCCCCATTTGCTCTGCTTACAGAGCTGAGAAAATGTTCACAAATACACCCTGTACACACTATGAAAGTTTGCAGATAAAATATTTGCCAATAGTTTCTCACTTCTTGCCTGACTCTGAAGATATCTGTCCAGATTATTGAAGCAAGACAAATGTAAATAATTTACATCATGCTGCAAACGTTCAGAGTACTGTAGAGTGGTGGATCCCTGCCTCAAACAGCTTTCATTCTAATGACACAATAAAATCAGATGAAAGACTGAATGTACAGAGTGTGATGAAGTCATTATTAAGCTTGCCCAATGCCTTGAAGCTGTATGGAAATATAGGTGCTTAGTATTTACTAAAAACATATGTTCAGCGCTATATGTTGGTGTATCAGAAAGGAATAGAACATATCACCAAAATTATGACATATGCATTGATGATAGGTTCTTATTCAGACTACTGTGGCCAGTGGAACTCACCAAATCGTAAAGGTGTAGCCGAGTGAAAAATCCAGAGAAAAAATTAAAATAAGACTAAAAATCTGAGGATAATTTAGCCTTCAAAGAGAAAAATTGGTATTTAAGGGGAAGGATAGAATAAAAACTGATCAATCCTTCCTGATGGCTAGTTTATATCCATTTGTTCCTGTGACCACATTGGTACTGAGCTTAAATAATTCCTCTTCCCTCCCTGGTATTTATCCCTCTGATATATTTAGAGAGAGCAATCATATCCCCCCTCAGCCTTCTTTTGGTTAGGCTAAACAAGCCGAGCTCAGTCTCCTCCATAAGACAGGTTTTCCATTCCTTGGATCATCCTAGTAGCCCTTCTCTGTACTTGTTCCAGTTTGAATTCATCCTTCTTAAACATGGGAGACCAGAACTGCACACAGTATTCCAGATGAGGTCTCACCAGTGCCTTGTATAATGGTACTAACACCTCCTTATCTCTACTGGAAATACCTCGCCTGATGCATCCCAAGACTGCATTAGCTTTTTTCACAGCCATATCACACTGGCGGCTCATAGCCATCCTGTGATCAACCAATACTCCGAGGTCCTTCTCCTCCTCTGTTACTTCCAAGTGATGTGTCCCCAGTTTATAACAAAAATTCTTGTTATTAATCCCTAAATGCATGACCTTGCACTTTTCTCTATTAAATTTCATCCTATTACTATTACTCCAGTTTACAAGGTCATCCAGATCTTCCTATAGGATATCTCAGGCCCTCTCTGTATTGGCAATACCTCCCAGCTTTGAGTCATCTGCAAACTTTATTAGCACATTCCTACTTTTTGTGCTAAGGTCAGTAATAAAAAGATTAAATAAGATTGGTCCCAAAACCAATCCCTGAGGAACTCCACTAGTAACTCCTTCTAGCCTGACAGCTCACCTTTCAGTATGACCCGTTGTAGTCTCCCCTTTAACCAGTTCCTTATCCACCTTTCAATTTTCATATTGATCCCCATCTTTTCCACCGGCAGGCACCTTTCGCACTGGATGGTCCCCCCAGCCTGGCTTTCTGTGAGTGGGAAATGCAGGCCACAGTCTTTGCAAATCCACACCAGGATCTGGGTAAAGGCATCCAGGTTGTCTGTCTGAATAGAGGCGCAGGTGGAGGAGACAGGAGCAGTGTTGGCACTGGTGATGCGGTCCTTCCTAACCATAGCGACTATATTACAACTCCCTCCCACAAATTCCCTCTCAAACTCCCTTGTTTGCTAGCTCCCCTTGGTTGCTTAGCCCCTGGCTTTTAAGGCCTTCCCTCCTAGGTCAGCCCTACCCCTCGTTAATCACACAGAGGAAGGGTGATCACAAGGCTGATCAAAGATGATCAAGGATGAACCAGGGAACAAAGGCTCAAGCAGTCCCCAGACACAATCTCAACTGACCCAGTAACTGAAAACCTGAAAGAGAAAGAAAAACACAAACAGCCAAACAAACTCACTCACCCCAAGGTTAGTACTCGCACCTTGTTCATTCAGCGAGGGGGGGGTGGTGGATCTCCTTCTCCCCCTCTCAAAATCCCCTGTTCACTAGCAGATAATGGGGTTAAACACCTCCTTGATCCTTCTCAGCTTCTAGCTGGACTGTTTATCAGTTTACTTCTTGACTTTTCTCCAACTCTCAATGGGTTTGTGCAAGTCAGTTAGGTCTCAATATTACGCCTGCTCATGCTGACCTTTTCCCCAGTATGGTAAGTATTGAAATGAAACGTTAGGGTGGTAACTCTCTCCATGCTCCCAATGCACTCCAGGCCCCCTTCCTTGGCCTCCTAGCCCTGGCTCTTCTGAAGGTCCCACTCTCCCTCCGTGGCACTTCAACAATTGTTTTTCCAGTAGCTTGATGCCCCTCCAGTCAGTCTCTTCATACAAGGTATCAGAGAGAAAGGGATTAAACAAAACCCCCTCCCTCTTCTTGCTCATCCTGTTACCTAGAGGGGAGAAAGCTATTAAATTCTGGGCTGCCCAAGACCCGCCCCCCCCTTTGTTCTTCAAAGGCAGGATTAAAGAAAAAAACATTTTAAGGAAAATCAATCAATCTCATGACTGCCAACGTAACAGATTGAAAGAAGATATTTGTCTGATGAACAGGGTTTATTAATCCTTACTCAACTAGCTGATTTCCAGGTGGATGATACCTAGCTTTTTCCTAGGGGCTTGGGACAGCTGTGCTGGGGAATTAGTTTCCAGCCACTTGTCAAATAAGTATTATTGTATGGAGACAATTGAGCTCAGCCTCTGGGAACCCCCATTCACTTGCTTGTATACTCAAATGCAACCTTTCTCCCCACTAGACGTTTTTGACCTAACCCTCAAATCCGGAACCAGGATATAGAGATGATTCACACTGGGAGTTCATGTCAAGGAGGGAACCAACATGGATTTGGCCCATGCAGGGAGTCTGAATGCTCTGCTTTGCGGGAGGCACTTCATGGTGTTAGGGGAGGGAGAGGGCCAGGATTGAGGGAGTGGTCAGAATTGAAGAATTTACTTTCTATGAACAAAAAGCTGCCAAATTATTGTGAGACTGAGGTCACGGACCACTTTTTAAAACTATTTTTCAAATGACAACATACCAAATATAGATAGTGTGGGTGTTCGTAAAGATTCCAATTATTTTTAGAAGAGGTTGTGTCCAACCATTCAGACATTCTGAATCCCCAAATTACTGTAATATGCAAAATGCTACTCTGTACTCAGAACGGCCAGCAAAACTGTCCAAACCTGCTTGGTATCTGCCTGAAACTAATGTTCTCATCTGTTTTATCTTAGAAAAGTAAATGTAAATTGCTCTGTTCAAACTAAAGCAGAACATACCAACTTTGTCATCTGTGATTTATTTAACATTTTTACTGAAGAATAATGACAGTATCCAGAGATTTTTACAAGATACAATATGAACCAATGTTAAGCGTACAAAATAAAATACATATGCAGAGATAAATATTAATATGCCTATGCCTCTCAGTCCGCATGATTCCCAGACTTAAAGTAACTGAAATATAGCAAAATAAAAAGCATCACAAGAAAGCTGCAGAATAGCGGGGACATACATTTGTTTGAAAGATTGATGTGGTTACATGGAGAAACATAAGATACCGATTTTGAGGTTCTCAATAGCAAAATCTCTTCCAGACACATAGGTGAAGAGGTTCAAAGTGATGGCTTTCAGATTTGTTGCAGTGTTGGCAATGATTAAACAGAAAGGTATTTTCATATTCAATATAGCACATTTCCACTTCAATAAACCAAATTTTTGCATAATCGCCTTTCACACTATAGTTACATTTATTTTCTACCACACTAGGAAACATGTTTTCATCTGCTCTAAGATTTGAAACAGTTGTTTTTATCCTAAAATAAAATCTTTCTTTAATAAATCCACTTTAAATTTGGATTAGAAAATCAACTTTGTCTTAGGTCAGATGAGAGTATGGAACTATGTCTCACTATTTTAATCAAGTAGACTCTTTCCTTAACTCTACTGCCTCATAACAATTTTGTTAACAAATACTAGAAATACAGAATTTTGTCCATACGCTTTATCAGTACAAAACTTTAAACAGGGAATAAGAGCCTCTACTTGAATGGATCTTGGTGGTTTTGAGCAGCGTTAGAGAAAGAAACTGCCCTCAAAAGTGCACAGAGTGTAGCCTGGAAAACTGCCGCTGTACTTGCTACAAACAAGATTTTCCCCCCTCAACTAGGTTTTTCTTCTTCATGTTATTAAAGTAATTGTCAAATCCTTGAACATGACACTTAGCCCTGGTCTACACTAGGGGGGAAGATCGATCTAAGTTACACAACTTCAGCTACGTCAATAACGTAGCTGAAGTCGACGTACTTAGATCAACTTACCGTGATGTCTTCACCGCGGTGAGTCGACTGCTGCCGCTCCCCAATCAACTCTGCTTGCGCCTCTCGTGGTGCTGGAGTACAGTTAATGGGAGAGGGCTGGGGTATGTGTCGATTTATCGCATCTAGACTAGACACAATAAATCGATCCCCACTGGATCGATCACTGCCCGCCGATCTGGCGGGTAGCGTAGACATACCCTTAGTACAATTAATGGCTTAAAGGGATTTGCAAAAAGTTATGTACCTGGGCACTTCACTTTGTCCACAGAAGTTTAGACAACCTGAAAAGTTAAGGATTGGAATTTCTTCCAGTCATTCTATTAAATATTGGTGTCTTCACAATATAATGCAGTGATCTTTGGAACGCTATGTATTTCTTGCTAATGGGAGATAACTGCTTTTAATCTGTCCACAAGATGGTGCTTCAGTTTTGTTACTGTAAGGTGTCCTTTTTTTAAAACGTCCTTCAGTTCATTCCAAATTCCTTTTATTGGACTGGATTACATGATATAGGTGGCCAAATCACATAATACCAGTGTTTTATTCAGTGTTTATGCTTATAGTTAAGTGTGCTCTAAATCGATCTTGTTGAAAAATAAATCCTCAAGTTTCCCCAGTGCAGTGCCAACACTAATATCCCTTCCTACAGCTCACTGTCCTCTAGATCTTAAACAGCTTGCCAACAGCTTTGAGAGAGGGATATTTACACACTAGGAGATTATTCCATCATACTTAGCAGTAGGACCCAGAATTTTCCTTCCCTCGCTGCTAAATAATTAAACCTGTATGAGACACCACCTTAGACAATTTGTCTTATACTACTCTACCTCAAACTTTTGAAATAATAATCTGTGCCACCTTCATTTGGTCACCTCAGTCAAGAAACAAATGGTCAGTCCCTTAGATTGGTCACCTAAGACAGTTTTCACCATATAAACCTTTCCAGTGAGACTGAAAAAAGTATCTGTTTCACCCAATCATTATTTTAAAGAAATAAAAAATGTTTCAGAACAGTCTCTTTCGCTTAGCATCCAGATATTAACTATATTGCATTCTGTATCCTTGTCAGATAATTTCTTATTGTCTATTTTTTCCAAAACTATAATCTTTACCTTATTTCTTCTCATTTTCTATTAGATCAATTTGATGTTCATTTTTTCCACTTCCCAAGTTCCACACATCCTATTTTTTCTTTGTTTCAATATTTTTTCATATTACTGCTTATCTTGATAAGTCATCCATTCCTTCTCTTCAAACACAGTCTGTTTTACTGTAGTTTCTACAGTCCATATAACTATTCAACACGAGGAGCACACTTTTCCTCAACAGCATGTTTTTTGAAAACAAGATTATTCTGCTTGCAAGTCAGTCGTGCTCTTTCTTCTAACCCATAGTGAACTGATATTCTTTTTCCATCTATTTTAGTATGTGACACAGCCTAAACTATTAAATATCTATTTGCCTCACTAAACAATAGAAAAATAATCTATTTAAAAGATGATGGTGCATTCCTCCCTTTCTGGAAAATCTTTCAGTATGCCTCAACATGCCCAATTACATGAATTCTTTATCATTCCAATTCACCTGTTGGTTTCTCAACACCCAGAAAGTACAAACATAGAAAAAACAAAAACATAGTACATAGCAATAAAGGTACAGAATGATGTTTTCATTTTAAACTCACCTCAGCAATATAAACTTGGGGCAATTATAGGCCATTTTTAGCTTTACCACAGGTATCAGAATTCTCCAATATTGATCATTCTATTCTGCTAGGCTTGACTGCCATAAGAATAAGTTATCACAAGAAAGATTTTTCTGTCAAACCCAAAGTCATCCCAATAAATTTCCGTGGATCCATTTGTTGTAAAGTTGCCTCAATCCAAATGATGAATGAACAGGATAATTTAAATGAGATTTCAAATAAATGACAAACTTTCTGCCATATGCAAAGATAATATACTCTATTTTGGGGACTTATGTGGATTTGATGCACCCATCACAGTACGTCTTGCCACACTTCAAAAAGGTTAGATTTATCATATTCTCTCTCAAAAACCAGAACCAAACTTGCTAGTAGGATAAAATGCCAGGAGATTCCAGACCTTCAGTTAGCAGAAAGCTAATCTAAGTCACATTCCAAATGTGAATGTAGTCCACATACTTTTCTAGCATGCGAGAGTATTAAAGAGGTGGACAACCACTGAGAACGTCGAGGTCCTGTGACCTTAACCCTTGCGACAGAAAAAGCTGAAGAGCTTATGCTGAGCCCAGGTGGAACAGTATCAGACAACTGAGGCTTACACCATTTAGGGCTTAACAGATAGTGACCAGCATCTTGAATTAAATTCCATTGTGAACTGGGAGTCAATCTGAAGTTCAGCGCACAAGTACAATATACTCCTGCCAATCTGCCCTACTCAACTGTTAAGCGCAGCACACATACTGCACCAGCTGAAGTTTCTGGATAGCCTTCAAGATTAGCCCCAAGTAGAGCTTTGTTGGACTAGTCCCTAACCTTGAGATTATAACTATAGATAACCATAGTGAAGGTCCCATCTGAAGGGGAAAGGATACAATCTCATGTCCAGCATCAGAAGAAAGTATTCAGGAAGTCTACATAGAAGTCCAAGAAAAAAAGAGGAATCTAATGAGACCGTAAAACTGTGACCCCCTCAGTGGTTAGACTCTTTCCTCAAAATATATCTTTTCTGTCAATCAGCATTACCTTAATGTTGTCCAGATTGAATTATGAAATATCATGCAACTAATGAGAATGTATTTCCCACAGAATAAATGGGTAGAGTTTTCTGAATCCTGTTTTGCAAAAAAGGCTGTAAGGGCAACAGAATCTCTAAAAATAAATATATTCCATGGCTTTAAGATACAATAGAGGAAAATTTAGTGAAAAAATCCTAGAATAAACATTTTAATTTTAACTGAGTCCTTGCTCCATTGATTTTACCACTCTTTCAAATCAGAGATAATATTAAGGGACATGTTAAGGTATCACATCTCTGGTTCATGAAGAAAGCACCCAATTCCTCAGTACTTGGCAAGTTTACTTTAATCCAAAATATCCTACCACAGAAACTATCTCAAAAAGCTTCCATCCAGAATACTGTAACGAGGCTAAACCAAATCCTGGACCCCGTTCAACCCGTTCTTTAGACCATGAAAATACTGTAGCTTAAATCTGAGTAACAGTTTTCACTAAAAAATATTAACAGCAATCTGCACATATATTTTAAATTGCTGCCACTTTAAAGTGTGATTCCCTTCTCAAAGTGACTAAAAATGGGGTACCAAGTTTATTATGCCAATTTCTGTTATCAGTCGTGCTCAATGTAGAAGACGTTTTAACTGAATGCAAGCCATGAAAACCCATGCTGGGCTCTCAGAACCAAACTGGGGTCTTTCCTCATGCATTGCCACCAACGAAACTGGCTTTGCAAATAAAATTAGGTTCTTAATGAGGCCTGTGCAAACCTACAGCCTCCAAAGGGATTGCAAAGATGTAACCAATTGGAACTTAGTCAATCTTGTTGAAGACAGAAGCAACAGAATCCAGATCACTTTTTCATAGTACTGCAAAGACAATAAAAAGCAATACAATCCTATTTTTGTCACTGAAGTAGGCAGATATGAATCAGAATACATGCAGGGAGCAGCCATGATTGAAAAAGTACCATTTTTTACACCAACATTTTTCAGAGTAGTATGCACCTTAAGATGATGTGCTTAAGTTTCTCTATAAACTAGATAAGGGAACATTTCAGTACATTTCTAATATTTACTAATCTTTGGGGATGTTTCAGGAACACAATATACAAACTCCCCTTATAGATTACTGACTCCCATTCATGATGGTCCAGCATACATGTCACTTGTGATATCACATACACCACTGAAGAGTAACGGCCAGAGGCAATGTTCAGATCCTTGCCCCTCCCTTCCAGGTTTTTACAATTTTTGTTTTTCTTCAGTAACAGTACTTTATAGTGCTTTATGGGAGAGAGTTGGGGAGAGAGAGAAGAGAAGATAAATAGGATTTGCATTAATCAGAGTCAAATTCCAGTGCTCTTCCTGGATGATTAGGTCATCAGCAGAGTGCATGCTGGGATATGGAGAAGCAGACTCGCAGAAAAGACTCAAAAGTAAACCATGTAGAATGTGGCAAAGTGTCCCTCATTAGTTATTTGGGAAACTACCCACAAAGTTGTAACATTTTACAAATATGTGCAATTAACTTTAAAAATATCACTTTTATTAAACACATTTCTAATTATCAGTCTTAAGTGTATACTACAAATCTAATTAGTACTACAGTGGGAGACAGCCAGATAAAAATCAAGTCTTCCCTTTAGATTAAGCATTAATAGGTTATAAACAAATGACTGATGAGAAGAGAAAGAATAGGAATTATAGGCAAGGGTACTAACAGACCCTTCATTCCCAACTATGTAACAAAGTCATCCATTACATACATTACAGTACATAAAGCCTCATCTCTAAAAACTCAACTTTGGAATGTCATTTTATTTAAAATGCACAGCATGCAGTGTTTTGCAATTGTCAAAAGGCATGCTATTTTAAATTCTCATAATTCACTGGCAAATGACATTTTACATTTAAAAAAAATACTATTACAAAGCATTTAATCAAATCTTGACATTTTGGTCTCCACTATTATTATTTGCTGCAATGCATATGATTTAATCTTAACAAATTGATTTTGATGACTTGCGTTCCCTATCAACATTTCTGCCCTCAGTATGTCAGTCACTGGACTACTCAGCAACAGAATCATCAAGATGCTCTTATTGCCACCTCTCTCCCATGAGCAATTTTCATGTTACTGAAACGTTTTAAAGTGCATAAAGGATTTTTCCTGGAGAAAGATTTATCGGTAATTATTCCATTAATATTTCAATTACTAGATTTGCATTATTTGTACTCACTTAGCCTTTATTAAAAGATTATTTCTTACAGAGTCTGCTATGACTTGGATACTTATTGCAGAAAGCCTTATTCTAGAAACCCATTTTGTAAAACACTAGAATTGCGCATTTCAAACACGTAAATTCTATGCACTCACTTTTGGGATTACTGACAGCCATGACACATTTCAGCACAATTGTTTTACTTCCCCCACACAAAAAGGTTTTTCTGAAAAACACCCAAAAAGCTATCTACAATTCAGATTCATACAAGTAGTGCCTGTGTAAATAAATTAGTATCATCTTCACATCTGTTTAATTATAAATATTTCTAGAATATGTTAAAACTTCTACACACCTCTTGCTTTTGCTAGCAAAGATCATTCGCAGAATATTGCTTCTTAAAAATATAAAAAGCCAAATGAAAAATAACAGAAAACTACTAAGTAAATCATTCTCCATGTTATATCCTCCAACATTAGCAAGTTAAAGCAACAAAAAGGCATATGGGTGGGAAAAAATCTGAAGAGAAAAAACCTAAACACAAGGCATAGGCCAAGATACTCTATAAAAAAAAGTTTGTTGAGGTTTCTACATCCTGCGCAGTAACTCAACGTACTCTAGGCCAAGCCCAAAGCCAACTGCATTCAAAAGACTGATTTGTTGCAACACTGGCAGAAGCAAGTTTCCAAATCATGACACTCGAGAAAAGGGCTGTTCTTTTTGGAGGAACTGATCTCAGAGGAAAAAAAGAGACCATATAGCTAGAATATAACAACTGGTTCAAGATTGGCAGGTAGAACAAATGAAACAAAGCCTGTTCTAGCATTAAACATCTGTATCTTGCAAATACCTCCAATGACTTCTAGAAGGAAGTAGTTAAATGAGTGCAAACTGATGTGCAAGTTGACAAAAAATTGAAATGGGGAAAGTATCTTCTGTGTATTTTCAGGCATTAACATTTGCCTTATAGAAACTAAAAGATTTAAGTTCCAATTCCCAAATAAATTCACCTCCAACAGTCTCATGTAGAAATTATGCTAAGTAGCTTTTGTTGAACTGATCTTCTATACAAAGTTGTTGACTCTGAATCTAAAGCTGTTTTGGAAACTGACTCAGTAACAACAGTTCAGGAAGCCTACAGCATGAAGTAAATGAGGTATGGTATTGAAGTGACTGCAGTTTCAATAGCTGTTCCATCTCTGTGCAAACTTGTTTCCAAAAGAGAGTACTCCAAGGATTTTTTCTGTCAAATCTACAATATTTCCAAATCTACATGTCGAACATCAGGATTGCGTTGCTGAAACAAAAAAACAAAATTTTATTAATAAACATAGACAATCAAATGTATCACACTGATGCTGACGACAAGATCTGCCACAACGTTGGCAACAGGATAACAAATCCCTAATCGTGGTAATATAGCAATTGTTTTAAAACGAAGACTAACTAATACATTTAACCCATGCTTTAGGTAGGGCTAAAGAATTTGTCCACCAAGGAATATTTATCAGCGTGTACTAGAATGGGGATAACTTCATAGCTAAATTAGTTCTAATGCTTTCAAAAGTATGAAGCAGCTCATGATTTAAAAAACATAATTGGTTAAAGGTAAAAATGTCCAAATGAAATAAAAAAAAAGTTACATTCTACATAGAAGAGACACTTTCCTGAATGCCAAAAGTGCATGAAAAGAACTGATCTATGCTATTAAAATGACTTGTAAGACCTAATATACTGACCAAGTTTCTATTAAGGAAATATACAACTTCAGACACTGAAAATATTATGTGGTTTGCATAACAGGTGATGTTTGCTTCAAGTGACTTGCTTCACCAACATTTCTACAGGTGACTTTAAATTAGGTAAAGCTTTTTCAATAGCAACACAATTATTGAAATCCCTATATACACTGAAAATAGGATTAATGTTTTGAAATTTATTATTCTTAATTGAGCCTGCTGTTCAAAAATCTGAGGGCTGGCAAGCAAATCCAACTATAGTCAAAACACTGATTTTGATTTTCAATAGCACCACTCTGGGAAGATAAAACTAAAATTACTTAGAATGGTTCTCAAAAATCCTACACACACTAGAACATGCTCTTGAACAGCACCTTCTGATGAAGGGAAAAGGCAGTCACAAAGGCACAACATTTATCTGGCACACTATGGTTATGATCATGACTCTGTGCTCCCCTTGGAAAATACCATGGAATTTACTTATGTCTGTGGATATATTTGTCTGCCCAAATGCCTCACATCTTCAGACAAAGGAAATGCTTAACTACTGCAAAAGCAGGAAAATAAATTCTTCAGCAGAAAGGAAAAACGTTTTTAAAAAAATCATACCTTACGAAATGGATATGTTCTGTATTAGAAGTTCCCTTTGGGGCTTTTCATAAATTTGTAATATAAACAGCTTCCCCATTTATTTCATGCAGACAAATATGATTTATTTGTACATATTATTCCTTCTGCTGCTTAGTCACCAAGGACATAAAACAGATACCCTGTCCACCTTTTCATCCTAGGAGGAACAGACAACTCTGTTCTTCCCAGCACCAGCATTTTCCCAGATTGTGAGATGTAACAGAATGTAAAGCAAGAAAACCAGACTGCAAAAACAGAACCGAATGTTGAACATCTGCTGCTTCCCAGACCTCTCCAATCCACTTATACTTTCAGGAATTCCCAGCATCTGCTAAAACTAGGTGAGATCACACATCAGCACATAAACTATCAATACAAAACCAGAGTCACAACACAACTGTCTGACTAGATCTCTGTCCAGCCCAATAACACCATTCTAGAATTTGAAATCAGAAAGGCAAAGGCCCTTATGATGAATCTATCCATTTATAAAGTTATGGTTTGGTATAATGGACAGACCACAAACTAAACAAAAATAAAAGCATGCCACACCTACCCACCATAACTTCTCAGGTAAAGTTTTAGTAGCCACAATGTAACAAGGATGACACGCCTTTGCTGTTACAATTGAAAGAGAACTTTAAATCCTAAACTGAAAAAAGGATGGCTGCTTGTTTGTGTCTCTATTAAAGTTGTGTCACATGGTAGAGCAGTAGTCGCAATGAGAGATATTGTTTTGCAAAGAGCAAAACAAAAAATAAGAGGTAAAGTAAGTGGAGCCCTCTTCATATGCAATTACATCACTTTTGACACAACATTAAGTGGATGGTTAAAAACCATTTAAAAGTTGCTTCTCATTACAGCTGATGTAGAGTTCAAGGGCCTATAAATGACATTTTGAGACAACTGTGCCATTTTTCAGAGAACACAAACAGGTAATATTCCATGGGAGTTGTAATCAATAAGTAGTAATGATCTTAGAAAGGCAAGTGACTTTGACAGAGACAAAACAAACCACCATACAAGCCATACATGTCAAGCAGACCCAGGGCAAGACAAATACTTGTTTTCAAGGTCAGATTTGTTCAGTGAAACTTAACTGAAGTTTGTCCCTGCTTTTCTTAAAGGTACAAAGCTAAATATCAGCAAAATAGGAGCATTCAGATTGATTAATTATTTTAACCAACTGAATATTACCTTTAGCTCCTTTTCAAGCCGGTCTACTTCAGCTCCCAGTGTGTCAATGATATTCTCTCCATGTTTAAGCATGAAGGCTTCTAATTCCTCAAGAGTTTTCACCTGCTGAATTTCCTGGCAAGAAAAGAAATTTGAGAGGTTGGAGGGGAAGGTAAAAAACAAAAAAGAAAAACAAGCAACTGTCAATTTTTAAACATTTTCATGTTTCCTAATGGGCAACCATTTGCCAAGGAACTGGAAAAGGCTGGGCTTCTTTATTATTCCTGACTTTTCAGGGCAGTGAGGACGAAGGACATGAAGAATGTAAAATATAGATGGGGAGGAAGATGGGCTGGCAATAAACCTGCAATATGTACATACACATTTTCACTTTTTCCTTTATTCACAAACTAGGTTTAAAGAACTGCACTTTGTCTTTCCAAAAAGTCCTCTCTTCAAAAAGTTGGTAAACGTCTCAGTTTTCTCCTAACAGCTTCTCTCTTCTTGTTCTCTCCGCTCATTCTCTCTCAAAAACATAAGGCCAGAACGGACCACCTTTTGCATAACACAGGCTACAGAACTTACCCAACATCTTCCCTGTTTGAATTACAGCAGGTCTTTTAGAAAAACATCCATTCTTGATTTAAAAATGGACACTGATGGAGAATCCACCACAACCCTTGGTAAATTGTTCAAATGGTTGTTTACTTTCACTGTTAAAAATTTACACCTTATTTCCAGTCTGAATTTGTCTACCTTCAACTTCCAGCCACTGGATCTTGCGATACTCTTGTCTGCCAGACTGAAGAGCTCATTCCCCATGTAGGTATTTATAAACTGTGATCAAGACTTAGCCATTTCTCTGTTAAGCTAAAGTAGACAGACTACTCTAGGAGCTCAAACACAGAAGCCAGGTTCTCCAATCCTTTCATCATTCTTGTGACTCTTCTCTGAATCCTCTTCAATTTATCAACATCCCTTCTAGATTTATGCACACCAAAACTTGCCACACATTCCAGTAGTGGTCACACCAGTGCCAAATATAGCAGTAGTATAACCTCCTTACTCTTATTGTACATTCCCCTGTTTATACATCCAAGGATTGCATTAGCCCAGGGGTGGGCAAACTTTTTTGGCCCGAGGGTCACATCTGGGTATGGAAATTGTATGGCGGGCCATGAATGCTTGCAAAATTGGGGTTGGGGTGTGGGAGGGGGTTCGGGCTCTGGCTGGGGGTTCAGGCTCTAGGGTGGGGCCAAAAATGAGGCATTCAGGGTGCAGGAGGGGGCTTCGGCATAGGGTTGGGGTGTGGTGAGGGCTCTGGCTGGAGGTAAGGGCTCTGGGGTAGGGCTGGGGATGAGGGATTTGGGGTGCAGGAGGATGCTCCAGGCTGGGACCAAGGGGTTTGGAAGGCAAGAGGGGGATCAGGGCTGGGGCAGGGGGTTGGGGCACGGGGGAGCAAGGGCTCTGGGGTGGAGCCAGAAATGAGGAGTTCAGGGTGTGGGAGGGGGCTCCAGGCTGGGGCAGGACATGGGGGGTGGTGGGGGAAGTGTGAGGGCTCCGGCTGGGGTGCAGGCTCTGGAATGGGGCTGGGGATGAGAAGTTTGGGGTGCAGGAGGGTGCTCCAGGCTGGGACCAAGGGATGCAGGAGGGGCTCAGGGGTGCAGGCTCCGGGCAGCTCCTAGAAGGAGCGGCATGTCCCCCCTCCAGCTCCCACGCGGAAGCGCGGGCAGGCAGCTTGTCATGCTGCCCCATGCGCAGGCGCTGCCCCTGCAGCTATTGGCCACAGTTCCTGGCCAATGGGAGCTACAGGGGTGGCGCTTGGGGTGGGGGCGGCACACGGAGCCCCCTGGCTGCCCTTAAACGTAGGAGCCGGAGGGGGGACATGCCGCTACTTATGGAAGCTGCAGGGAGCCGCGGCGCGCATGCACGGAGCAGCTGGAACTCTAGGGCCGGATTAAATCGGCTGGCGGGCTGGATGTGGCCCGTGGGCCATAGTTTGCCCACCGTTGCATTAGCCCTTTTGGCCACAGCATTCCACTGGGAGCTCACACTCAGCTGATTATGCACCATGACTCCAAGTCTTTTTCAATCACTGTTTCCCAGACTAGTGTCTCCCATCCTGTAAGTATGATTTACATTGTTCCTAAGTTCACATTTGGGTGTATTAAAATACATATTTATTTGCTTGCACACAGCTTATCAAGCAATCCAGATAATTCTGTATCAGTGACCCATCCTCTTTGTTATTTACCAATCCCCCAACCTAAGTGTCATCAGTGATTATTTTATTTTCTGCCATGTCATTGATAAAAATGTTAAAGAGCACAGGGCCAAGAACCAATCCCTGAAGTAGTCCACTAGAAACATACCAACTTGAAGATAGTTCCCCATTTACAATTACACTGAGACCTATCAGACAGTTTTTAATACTTTTAATATGTACTATGTTAATTTTTTAATAGTTCAAGATTTTTAATCAAAATGCCAAGTCAACTCCCAACAGAAGTCTAAATAAATTATATCGTCACTTTTACCTTTATCAACCCAACTTGTAATCTTACTCAAAGAAGTAATAAGTTAGTTTGACTGGATCTGTTTTCCATAAATCCATGTTGATTAACCATGATATTCGCCTCCTTTCATTCTTGATTAATTAAGTCCCATATCAGCTGTTCCATTATTTTGTTTGGGATCAATGTCAGATTGACAGGCCTATAATTAGCCTGGTTGTCCCATTTACCCCTTTTAAATATTGGCACATTTCTTCTAGAACTTCCATGGTGTCCCAAGACTTATTGAAAATTCATATTAATGGTCCCAGCAAGCACCTCGGCCAGCACTTTTAAAACTCTTGGATGCAAGTTATCCAGACCTGCTGATTTAAAAATGTGTAACTTTAGTGGTAGCTTTCAGAGTAGCAGCCGTGTTAGTCTGTATCCGCAAAAAGAAGAACAGGAGGACTTGTGGCACCTTAGAGACTAACAAATTTATTAGAGCATAAGCTTTCGTGGACTACAGCCCACTTCTTCGGATGCATATCCGAAGAAGTGGGCTCTAGTCCACGAAAGCTTATGCTCTAATAAATTTGTTAGTCTCTAAGGTGCCACAAGTCCTCCTGTTCTTCTTTTTTTAGTGGTAGCTGTATAATGTATCGCATCGCAGGTAGCAAAGTAAATGTAGTAATACCTAAAGATTCACTATGCAGCCTGCAGGAAATACTCATCCTTGGCCCCCAGAAAGAGCCAAGTAAAACAGCTGTGAACTGAGGCTAGGAGAAGCCAACAATGTACCAAACAGAAGGAAAGAGGTTAAGGAAAACAGGATGCAACGCTCTCTATAGAAGTACTAGGCAGACCTCTTCTATAGAGAGGAATTTTTCACCAAATAATAAAACCCAAGCTAACAGATGCATAAGAACTATAGATGGTATCCCAGTACTAACATGAGTTTTTCTTGGCTGTCTCATATCCAAGGACAGAGCTGGCTAGATGTTTCTTAACTTGTAATATCACAGCCATAGGCAATAAGGCTGCAGTACATTTAAGACACAAATATTGCATCACTAATATAGACATAGCACAGTATAAGATCAACAGTACTCCTTGGATACAAAGCAAGAAGACTATTTAAGTCAAATTAAACGTTTCCTGCAATATCAATAAAAACATATGTTAGTCTCTAAAAATCAAGTGGAAGGAGAGAAATAATGTGCTCTACGATCACAAACCAGACTTGAAAGCATGCCACTCTGGTTCTGATCTGAACCTGCTTCGTTTGCAAGACCTACAATGATCAGTTTTTGGATGAGAAATTTCCAGAGAAAATCCCAGTGTGTTGCAGAAGTGGTGTTGGCATTGTCACAGGGTGAGCTTGGCCTCGCTTCATCTCCCTGGTCTTCCTCTGAATCAGGGTAGTTCTTAGAAAAAGCATTTCAGAGTAAGGAGCTGGGAATCATACTGGAAAATCTAGGCAGAACAACAACTTGTGAATGTTGGGCAATATCCTGATTATTTAAAATTAGCCTTGTAATTTGACCTAGATAAGATTTTTTTTTTTTTACTACTCTTGTACGTACG